AGGTACATACATGGATTTTTTTCTCTGAACAATTTTTTCCCCTATGGTATCAAAATCCCTGGGTGATTTCTTGCAGCCTGATCTGGCAGATGGAGAGGATGACGCAATTAATGAAGATATTATTGAGCTCCAGAAGAAACTTCAACAGGTTAAGTTAATTTTTTTGCTTCGTGAAAGCATTAAATCCCCAAAAGTTTTAGTTTGATGATTTTTGTACTTAATATTTTCGAATAAATTTCTTTCATATAAAAGCAATTGCATTTTCCACTGATTTTCCATTCATTATCATCTTTTTATATTTTTCATATGCTGTAATAATTTAATTTTTATCGTGTACATTTTGTTATCACTTGCATAGGTTGGTAAAAAGGAACACTTGGACAATTTAACTAGAGCTGTTGAGGAGGGAAGGGAGTTGCAAGAATGGTAAGACACTCATTATTTTGGATCTCTTCTGCCATTCTGCCATTAGGCTTTCGACTTCCCATAATGCACATCAACTGCTGGCTTCATTTCATTGCATTTTATTGAATATGAATGTTATGCTGTTAATTTGCAGGTCCCTTGAGCAGGTTGCAATGGATAGGCTTGTTGAATTGGCTCACAGAAAGCAGTTGGTATGTTGTTTGTCTCCCTTGTTTATTCCTTATAGGGCAGAATTCACTGGTTTGAGTTTGTAATTGGAAATCTCCCTTGTTTGTTCCTTAATACAGAAGAATTCACAAGTTCGAGTTTGTGATTGGAATATTACATAATATATGAGACTACTGCTAGGGATGGCAGTGAGTTAAGTTGGAGTTGGATTTATACCCATTCTTGATTGGAATATCTAAATCCATCATTCACCTTCTTTTCCAATCCAGTTGGATCGAGGAGGATGGGGGATTTTATCTACCCAACCCGACCCATTCCCTTTTTAATTTTTTTAAAATTAAAATCCAAGCTTAAAAAACAAACTATATCTCCATCTATGCATTATAAATCCATAAAATATAGAGTTTAAACTTCAAGTTTACGGACAAACCCATAAAAATCTTTCATGAACTATAAGATAATATTGTATTAAAAAATAAAATTACAATTCCACAAAATAAAAAATAGGTTAAAAAACAGGATGGGGTAGGGTTTGGTGATGGGTCAGATAATGGGTCTGGGAACCCCTCATTTTCCTTTGCATCCAGCCTGTCCAAACTGATTCAGATTTTACCGACCTTCAGTTTGATATGGTCAAAACCATATTAAAATTCGACCCAACTAGATAGGATGACACCGGATGCCCAACGGTTAGATGAAATTGACATCTGTATTTACTGCCTATGGTAGTCCTTTCTTTTATTTTTAGTCAACTACCTTTCCTTTCCTTTTGTTCTGGTTTTTATCAAGTATTTGTTGTTTGTTCCTTTTCAATAGAAGCTAATCCCCATCTTCAGTTTGATTGGCAATCCATAGGTCACTAATCTTGTTGCTGGTTCCATGCATGCATTGCATTCTGATTTTCTACCCCATATTGTTATTATTATTCTCGTTGCCTGAATAATTGTGATTCATGACTCACTATTAAGGGCGATCCATTTGACATCCACTTGACTAACATTGACAGGCCACCAGAGGAAATAATGCTTCAAAATTTGGGGTCCCAAAGGTTTCAAAACAAGTTGCCTTGGCTTTTACAAGGAGGACTCTTGCTAAATGTAGAAAATTTGAACATACAGGCAAGAGTTGTTTTTGTGAGCCCCCTCTTCGAGATGTCATTTTCGCTGCACCTTGTGCAATTGTTGAGGAGTCCACAAGTTGTATTCAGGATCCTGGGGCTTCAGGTATGCCATCTGTCAAAATGTGTTATTAGGATTGTAAGTTTTAGTAGTTCTATTATGTTTGGCCTTTTTTGCTATTCATTGAAAGGAAAGTGTTTTGTGAGTGTTCGTACATGCCTTGGATCAGTGAATGGTGTTTTCTGCTTTGAAATGATGTGGATCCTGTTCAAAAGGTGTCAGATCTTGAATTCATTATGGTAACTTGCACCTTCGTGCACTAAGTGCGTTTACCCTTTTTTCCCCTCCTTTTCCCTTTTTTTTTTTTTTTTGGGGGGGATCCAATTAATTTTTTTTTTTTTTTTGCAGGCTCTTTCACTGGTAGAGCTGATAGGCGTGATCTTCACAACGATAAATTTGGCAGGGGTGTATCATTAGACCGTGATTTTGCTAGAACTGGAACATTATTGAACAGAGGGAGGAAGAAGGAACTACTGCTTGACGATGTTGGTGGTAATGCTTTGTTCAAAACCACATCATCTCTTGGTAATACTCAGCTGGGTGGAGCAAAGGGAAAGAAAAGCGAGAGCGAAAGGGACAAGGATGTATTAGCTAGAAATTCTGTCACTAGAGCTGGTCGTGCTTCTCAGAGCAATATCAAAGGTGACCGTAAAACAAAATCAAAACCCAAGCAGAAGATTGCTCAGCTATCAGCTTCTGGAGATGGAATTATCAACAAGTTAAAAGAAACAGGTATTAATAAGAAAAGAGAAGTTGGGGCAACATCCAAGGGTTCAAATCCTGTAGATTCATCGAAAGAAAGCAGAGGAGCGACAAACATTGCTGAGTTCCAAGATTTAGACTCTATAGAACTACACGAGGGCAATGATTTCAGCGACAATCAGGATCTGAATAGTTTGTTCGATGGGTTGCCAGAAAATGACTTTGCGGGTGAAATTCTACTCGATGACTTGCCCCTTCAAATTCCTATGGACGACCTTTCAATGATTCTATAAAATAGAGTTCAATGTAAATTTAAATGACAGTGCTTATGCCCGGGACCAACCTGCTAATATAATTTATGTCACTGGCAGCTCTCACTTGTAATTATGGTCATTCTTTATGTATACTTGAGTGAATCAGTTTGAAGGGAAAAAAAAAAAAAAAAAACGATGGGGGGGGAAGAAATTTTGTTTCTGTTCTAGACAGTTAGTGCAATTATTCGACTGAAACTTTTCTTATATATAGATCCACCATTAGTGCAAGCCGTACTATTAGCTTTGCAAAAAACTTGGGCCATTTTCAATCTTTGTTATAAATAGTCTATTGGTGAGGTGATGCAAGGATCCACCAACAGTCTTTTACATGAAACTGCAACTGGGATGCAGGATGGTTCGCTGTTGCTGGAGATGCCAACTGCACAAAAATTTCGAGTGTTTCCACTGGCATGCCAAGAGTCATGTAGGATTTGTTCTGTATAAGATACAGAGGAGAGCCTAATCCGTTGGTCATTACTCCATTTTGGTGGCGTATCATGAGCTGCTATATGATTGCGGGTGCAAATTCTACATCTTTCTTGGTATTGGCAACTAAAAATGTTCCCTTCTTTCTCGAAATTTTCTCAGAACCAAAAAGATCAACCCACCATTCTACATCTGTAATCAAAACCCACTTATGTTCCTTCCAGGTTCAGCATTTATAAGAGAATTCACCCTCTTGATCAAAACATTACTCCTTGGAACCTATGTAACCTTTCTTCTTCCATAAAAACTCAAAAACAAAGAGACAATAACTCCAAGAGACCAAAACCAGAAAGAAAGACATCACAATCTTCTTCAAAATACAAAGAGAGTTTCTTGAAACAAAACCTGGTGATAAAGCAAGCACCTTTCACGAGGAAGAACATAGAGAGCTAAAGAGAAGTCATTGGGAGATGGGTTCCACTTTGACGTGTCCACCAACCATCTTTTCTCTCCGTTCTCCATTACTATTTATCACTACAGCACAGGAGACAGGGCAGCTCTGCTTTTGGTTCAGCTCTTTCAGCCTCTTGGATTAATTTTCGTTGAAATCCATGAAGCAGTGTCTTTATACGAGAGTTTGAAGCAGGAAGAGGTGAGCGAGAGTCTGTGAGACCGTGGAATCAGAGAGGAAGGCCGGAGAATTCGTGGGCTTATATATCTTGGTCCATGAAGAAAGCTTTGTCTTTGGACATGGAATTAAGGCCCAACCCAGTAGATACAAGTCTGAAAAGCCCGACTCTGTGGAAAATGGACGGTAGTGGGCTTTGATTATTGTGACTGTGTATAATACATTTTTAAATTATCATAACTATTAGATCAACTTTTCCTCATGATTAAAGCTTGATAAAGTTTGAGTTTTTCAAGTGAGATATGTTTGTTAATATTTATATGAAAATATCTATTTAAAGGAAGGATGAGCTTGAGGATAATCTAAAATATAAAGATATACTGGAACCAATCAAACTCATAAAAACAAATTGAAAACCATGCTTAAAATATAAGGATAAATTTAGCTAATTCCTAATTAAATTTAAAATTACTTTATCATATATATAATAAATAAAAACTAATAAATATACTAAACGATATTAACGATTAAAATTTTTCATCGTTCCTTTCCATTCCGGGCCCTTTTTGTGGAGTTTTAGCCCAGTTAGGCTGCCACTAGCAGAACTTTTACATATCTGTCAAAAGGTTGGTGGCTTGTAGACTAGGTGACCAAACAAAGCCATGAAAAACATGTAAGGCGTAGCCTCTAAATTTTTATATATATCGAGCAAAACCATGAATCAACTTTGCCCATACGTTATCTTAGGTTTTTGATTTGATGGCTGAGGACAAAACTTGTGGTGTTTAACGGTGTTTGTTGTCCCAACCAATGTTTTTATCCTCCATCACACCCTAATTCAGCTATAAAATGTTGAGCAAGGAAAAGAGGACCCCTGATGTAATGAAGTACGTGAAGCTACATGAGTGCAGGCTCAATCAAGATGAGTTATTGTTCCCTACATCGGAACCCGGTGATGGAAGGGGAACGATATGCAACAAAGAAGGCGCACACAGATCCATAAGGTGACAACAAAATTTGTGGAAGCTATGCAAAGGTTTTTTGTGGCTAGGGAACAATGGCAGAAAAGGCAACAACCATGTAATGGTATCTGCAGTGTTGGTGATCATATCAAGAAGGTTGATGGTACAAGTAGCACGAGGATAGGTGGGTCTAATTGAATGAAATTCAAGTGCTTGGACCTAATTTTTCTTTTTATTAATACGTGAATCAGTACAAGGATGTTCTCTAAGGAGGACAAGAGAATTATTCCCCTTGTCCCTCCAAGAACTTGAAAAAATTCTGTTTTTATTTTCTTTAATTGGTTTCTTTTTCAATAAATTATAGAAGCCCTTGTGTGAATATCACATTTGAGTACCTCTGAATTTTAGTATTAGATCCTTGCTTGGAATATCATCTTTCTCTTCATCGTCTTCTCTCTCAAGATCCTTCCCTGTATATTTCAAGATACAAAAGCAACGAACAAACCATTGGATGCCACACAATTCTTGATTTCAGTTTCTTGTTTTGTTATGTTCTGTTCCAAAAGATGGATGTAGGCTTATCAATCTTGATGGGGTTACAAGCAACAGCGCTGTTCCTCATCTTTGTATCTCTCCAAAATCTTGATTTCACTTTATTATCATTACCATTCTTGTATGCCTCGTTAGTATCCTTACTTGTATCATTGGCTTCTCATCCGTCAATCAATATCCCTACGCTTTTATGCAAAAAACAAGATGGGACTTTTCCTATTTGGTCACTTATAATTTTTAGTCCATACCTATATTTAGTTAGAATCTTTTCATTTCTACGCAGGTTTACAAGTGGGGAGGAGCCTTATAATGAGATTTGCGAGGGTGTTTATATTGGTGGGTGGCCTTATTCCGTTGATAAATTGCCACCTGGTAATCCTGCTATTATAGATTGTACTTGTGAGTTTCCTAGAAAAGAGGAGTTCAAAGGGCATTCTTATTTGTGTCTTGCAACTTGGGATACAAGGGCACCTCAGCCTGGAGAGATTGAATCTGCTGTCAAGTGGGCTAGCAGGAAAAGAGCTCAGAATGTGCCTGTTTTCATTCACTGTGCTTATGGTATGATTTTGGATTGTAAATACCTTTTCGTATTCGACAATTTTGCTGCATTTGGTGTTGAGAATTTCGTGCAGTGAAGATTGTACTTGTTTTGACTGCTTACAGAAATTCCATTTTTGCTAAGCATTGTGTACAGGCAGACAGTTCTTTCATGTCATAGTAATTTTGTACTTGCATTTGGTTTTATCTTGGTATAGGTAATCAGCAGTTAAGTGTCAGAATTCAGGTAATTACAAGGTTAGATTCAGGGCTGCAGGGGGTGACCTTTATCTGTGTAATTTGCTGATCGCTTGGTTTAGTTCCAAGCCAAGGCTAGCTGCGTGGTTCTCTGAAGAGGATTTTTTTGCTAGGCTTTAGGTGTACGATTATGTGCATGTATTATGCAGTATGTGAGACATTCCTTCTTGTGGCATCATGATTCGCGAACAACCTAATAAAAAAATAGATTTTTGTTATCAAGAGTGAAGAAAATAAATGAAAAATTCATCATTTTTTGACTTTGAGCAATGATTTGTAGTAGCCAGGAATTGCTGGATGCATTATGGCCTCAGCGTACTGTGGGTTCTTCACAATTTGGGATCAACTAGATATTGATGTTTTGCCATTCTGCTCATCTTTTATATATATATATATATATATATGTCAAACCATTATGTTCATCTAGGTTTTCGTTTTTCAGTTAAATGAATGTTATTAGGTATTATGCTGCTCTTATTGCCCCAAGTGTTTTGTTTATCGTCCAATCCTTTGCTCGAAGCATCCTCAACTTGATTGTCCTGTGTTGCACTGGTAATGGCTTGACACTTCCTGTAGGTCATGGAAGAAGTGTCGCTGTAATGTGCGCACTGTTGGTGGCTCTAGGTGTGGTGGAAGATTGGAAAAAGGCTGAGCTGTTCATAAGAGAAAGACGACCTTATATTTCAATGAACTCCGTCCAATACAAGGCCTTGGAAGAATGGTCAAAGCACCGGTTATCTACTTCTAGCATAGATGAAGTGAGCTCAAGTTCTGCAGTCCCATCCACTTCTTCTGGACGCCCCCGAGCTGGTAGGCCAAAAAACAGAAGTGGTTAGCATGCTTCATTAATGTGCTGCGGGCTATTTTTTCAGGTAGCCCCATGTGCTTAGTTAATTGAAAAAACTATGCCGAATGATGGTGTTTGGATGTCAAAATGTGATCCACGGACATGAATAGGAACCTTGAACTACGATGTATAGGCATTTTCGATTTGCTATTGGTAAAAATGACGATTTTTATTTTCATTATTACTGTTTTTAAAAATAAATTTATATTATTTTGATATATTTTCAAATAAAAAAAACTTTAAAATATAATTTTCAAAAAAACCTACAAACAGAGATGAACGATTGCTATAATAAGCTGGTAAAAAATCTTCCATGAGCCAAGTACAAGGGACATCAAAAGCTTTGAACAATTCTTTTCGATAATTGTTTTATACATGGTCATTTCCTCTCTTCAACAGTGTGAGTTTTTCTCAGACTCACGCAAATGGCACTGGTTCAACCAACCTGTCTTCCACTCCGTACACAGGAATATGGCTTGAGGGATTAATTTTAACCTGTAGTATTCCTTGCTCCATTCACAGAAGAGATATAGGCTACCCAGCATGCTTGCACCCAAACACAAAAGGTCTGAGTACCTTGCAGAAATCTTAGGTGTGGGATTATACGACATTAAAATCAAAATTCACCAAGCATGTTTCGCAACAATGAAATGTACAGCATACAAGCAAAACAATCAACTCAAGATATTGAAGCAGCACTGGGAAGAATACAATACATCAGTTCTCTTATTTCAACCAAAGAATTTTTTAATTGCTATAGATACAAAGCTCCTGACTAATACGATCAAAATCTACAGTGTTCGTTCAGACATACAGGAGATATCTGTCATCGTATACACTACAAACTATCCAGTATCCATCTAAAACGATAAAAGCGATTTTGACCACATAAAATATGATTCCTTTGGTATTGTCATCACCGGTAAAACCCGATGCTATTATTTGTTCTTGCACATGCTTAACTCCCACCACGTTTAGCAGTTTCAGAACTACTTGTTGTCATAAAGGACTCTCCACAACCACACTGCCCTTGGGAGTTGGGATTGATGAAGACAAATTCAGATCTGCACAAGTTACCAATAACAGATACCAATTTAATACCGGAAAAAACTACAAATCAAAAGGATTGAAGTGGCATCCCTTAGAATCATGGAAAAGGAATTGGGGGTGAGGCAGGGCGGGTGGGTGATGCCATGGTTTTTACCCCAACACCCACATCTGAAATTACTCAGTTCAAAAACAACAACGCAATCCAAGGAATAAACCACATCCTATAATGGGACATCAGCATAGGGAAATTTGATGTCATCAACTAAATTCAACTGCCCTCTACTTTTGCAAATGGAGTTGATTTGCAGCATAATGGGAAAAAAAAAAAACAGTACTTAAATCTCAACTTCCAGCTTGGTGTGATCATACTATCCCTGTTACTGGACACCAAACTTTATTAATTCAGGCAACAAATTTCTTATAGGAACTGAACCATGCCCATATTCACCTAGATGCCCTCCAACATTACGTCATATGCAAAGAAACTCAGCCAAAAAAAATGAACTTTTACCTGAGCTTGTCATCAAAAAAGTCCATCTTGGTTCCTATAACATGCATCAGTGCCTTTGGATCAATCAATATCTTCACACCTTTATCTTCAACTAATTCATCAAACTTCCCTTTCTCATCTGCACATTTCAATCAAAACACACAAAAAAAATCATAAAACTTTCCTTCTAATCCAAAAAGCCCCATCTCAAAAAATCCAAATTAGTCACAGCCCCACGTTTCCAGACACCAAAAAACCTAAGTTTTCAAACCATACCCAAAAAAGTCTCAAACTTTACAATAAACCTATCAAACCCATCAAACAGGAACTCAAAAGTCTCAATCTTTGTCCAAAATTAATAAACCAATGAAGCGAAAACTGATGGTTTCATAGCTGAACCTGCGTAATTAAGAGTGTATGACAAGCCATTGCAGCCGCGAGCTTTAACGCCGAGACGGAGGAAAGGACGTTGGCGCTGCTGCAAGAGGTGGCGGATTCTGGTAGCGGCCGTGTCCGTCAAGTCTAGAACTTGTTTTCGGGCTGAGGAACCCACCGACTCTGCTGCTGCTGCGAAAAGTTTGGATGCCCTTGTGGCTGCCATTTTTACAAAGCTCCCTCCGTCTCTCCGTTGGAAAAAAAATATATGAATATTTTGGAAGTGGAAGAATAAAAAATTGATTTTGCCTTTTTGTTGAATTTTGTGAATATATATTAGTTCTTTTGGGTAATAAACAATGTTTGAACCTAGCAAGCATCTAATTATTTTGCGTAGTATAAATTATTTATACATGTATTTGTATTTTGTGCTTCTATTTTAAATTTAATTCCAAGTAAGGTTTTGTAGGAAAAAACTACGAGAAGTGTTTGGATTCAATTTAAGATTAGTCGTTTTAATAAATTTCTCCAAATTAATTTGAAAATATTAAATTAATAACTTCTCTTAAGATTAATTTGGAAGTGCGACATTAAGATTACTCAAGAACTTAGTTTTAGTTGATGTATAAATTAAGTTCATGTAGTTTTTTACAGATTGAATTAATAAAAAAAAATATAGTTTAGTGAATATTTAATTTAAAGATTGTACAAAGAATATCCTAAAACTTTTTTTGCACATATATATTATTTAACCCTTAGATTTAAAATTCAATTACTGATTTTTTTAGAAAATATTGAAATTAAAAACAAAGAAGAAATTAATTCTTTTTTTATCTTGACTTCATTTATATTGACACGTGGACAATCCTTTTCTTTTTATAGGATGAGATATGTAACTAATTTTTTATAAAACAAGTTTTATTTGTCTTTATAAATTTCTATTATTTCTTTAAAGATTTCTTAAAATTCTGTTCTTATTCTATAGTTTCTGATTCGGATTGATTTCGAATTCATATTCTTCTTGAAGTTATGCAAAATATGAGGAATGAATCCTTTCTCCACAAGACAGCCGATTTTGAATTCCCTTAATATGAAACTTCAAAATCTTTTTTTTGAATAAATAAATAAATAAAATTCTATATTTTTTTCACGCTTCAAATTACAGTCGGATTTCCTCATCCGCCCCATGCAAGGATTAAAACAATTCTCATCATTATATACGATCCACCAACACATAATTTTATTTGCGTCTTTGTTCATTATAATCAACGCAGCTGATCTTTCTCTTTGTTTTCTCTGCAAGGCATCGAGAGCTGATCACACCATGACACCGCTCGAAAACAAAAGGACCACGAAGTCCTACGAGGATAGGAAGAAAACCCTAAAGAAGAAAGCAAGGGAGCTTGCTATATTGTGTGACGGTCCTGTTTGCTTAATCTGTGTTGATCCTGATGGCACCACTGAAACATGGCCAGAAGAAAAGGAGAGGGTTGTTGATGTTCTCAAGGCATACAAAGCCAACCGGACAGTAAACAATGTTGAAGGCGAGGAGAAGGTTGTCGACAAGGCACCGAGAGTTTTTGAAACTTGGGACCCAAGGTTTGATTACTTGCCCGAGGAATCTCTGATGGATGTTTTGAAAATCTTGGAGAGGCAATCGCAGGTTGTCGATCAAGTAGTCGGGAAGGAACTGACGGGAAAGAAAGAAAAAATTATGCACGATAAAATAAAGAGCAAAACTGTGGGTGATGTTAACGATGAAAGGTCTCAAGAAGCCGGTCTAATAACAAGGAATTTTCTTGATGTGGTTGGCTTGAATCACCAGACTAGTTCCTATACAGGAAACTACAGTGATATCAGCAGTTTCTTGGGTAAAAATCCAGGGAGCAGCAGCAGCGATTTCATGATACCAGTGGACTTGGAGTTACGTTTGTGATGAGATTGATGCAGTTAGTGGGAAACATGGAAACCTTGCCAGTGTTCATGCTGGCTCCAGTCAATGTTGTAGCTTTTTTAGGTAGGGTTTTCTTTTTTTAGATTTCTTTTTTAGTTCTCCGTGTACACTAGTTTTAATGAAGACAGGATTCCCCCTATTAATTATGGATTGGTATGCCTAAATTAATTTTCAGTTGGATGTCATAAGATAATTAGTTTTGCAAACATGAATGCCTAGATTGCTGTGGCCTCCTGGTGAGAGATTGTTCATTCATCTTCACCAACTGTAAGTGAATGGTTAGAATTTGAATCCTAAATCGACCATCCTTTACATTGCCATACTCACTGATCCCCGAAATTTTCAAGTTCTCTGCTTGACAAAACATCCGCTGAAGAACATGTCTAAGAGAAACTTACATACAAGAAAATATGAAAACTAATCCATCGTTATGATTTCCTAAATGTCTTCCTGAAACAAGAGAATGAACCAAAAAGTCATTAGACGGTAGATCACAAGAACAATCATCAGATGCCCTTCTCAAGCATTGCCCTAACCCTCATTGGAAGACCATAGAGTCGAATAAATCCAGCTGCATCGGCCTGATCATATATTTGCCCGCTCTCAAACGAGGATATGTCTTCCCTATACAGGCTATTGGGGCTTGTCCGGCTAGCTACTGACACAGATCCTTTGTACAACTTAAGTCTGACAGAACCGTTTGTCTTCTCTGTGATCTTCTCCATAAATGCATCCATTGATTCCCGCAGTGGGTCAAACCACCTGCCTGCATACACTAGCTCAGCATACTTTAGAGCAAGTGAATCTTTAACTTGCATCGTTTCTCGGTCCAGGGTTAATGACTCTAGCTCACGTACAGCAGTGAAGAGAATGGTGCCTCCAGGAGTTTCATATACTCCACGGCTTTTCATACCAACAAGTCGGTTCTCAACCATGTCAATACGTCCAATACCATGTTTCCCACCAATCTCATTGAGTTTGGAAAGTAGAGAAGCTGGGGAAAGCTTCACCCCATTTACAGAAACAGGAAGGCCAGACACTATCCCAATCTCTACATACCTAAAAGAATCAAACACATTTTTTTTAAAAAAAAGAGATATTTGGGGTTAAAAAATGCGAACTTGAGATTAGAACTCAATTGATGATAATCTCAGATTAGTTGAATCAAAAATTCAACGAGGGACTTACTCGGGTTTGTCAGGTGCAGCTTCTGGACTCGTAGACATCATGTACATATCTTCCTTTGGCTCATTAGCAGGGTCTTCCAGAATGTCACCCTTGAGAGAAAGAAGCAAATAAGATATAGAGAACAAATTAACAACCGAATGACTATTAAAGGATTTAAGTATATAGTATTCAAACAAACATTGTGTGTGTTTACACACACACACACAAAATCACAAGGTATCAAAGTGTTTGCTAAGCATGAAAATAGCAAACAAAGACAATGCAGTGCAGGGAAGAAAACAAATTTGGAGCTGACAGCACAAAGGAGCCTAACTGTGACATTAAAACCAACAAGTGATTTTCTACCTTCAACAAGCTTAACACAAGACATTCTAAATTAATATTCTTTAACAACTACAATTTTTCCTTGGAATCAGTTGATGAGGGGGGCTAACCTCATGGCTCAGGTGCCATAAGTTTCTGTCTCTGCTGTATATGGATTTCTTTGTCACTGGGACAGGCACGTTGTGTTTCTTGGCATATTCAATGGCATCTTCTCTTCCTGTGATATCCCATTCCCGCCAAGGAGCCACAACATTGAGCTCAGGATTCAGGGCAAAGAAGGTGAGCTCAAAGCGAACCTGAATAGACAAGAAAGCCAAAAAAGTTACATTAGAAGGAACAAACGTGTTAGATAAGTTATCCTATTTGTGAGGCATGCCTGATCATTTCCTTTTCCTGTGCATCCATGAGCAACAGCATCAGCTCCAACTTCTTTTGCAACATCCACCATGGCCTGTCACAGCATGATGTGGTTAAAGTATGATTATTAATGATATAACACTGATGCAATGCATATTCTAGATAACAGAAAACAGAGAGTAGAGAAACAGAAACACTCCACAAAATTGCAAGTATCTGTACTTGTTTTAGATAATAGAAAGTGCTTATATGGAAAACAAATTTGATGTCAGAGGATGATAAAACACAAGGAAAACAGCAAAACACACACTCTATCATCATTCTTTATTAATGGCTCAATGTTTATCTTATTTCTGGAAAAAAAATCTAAAAACTACAACAAGACAACAGCTCTCTGGGGAGCCAACCTTTGCAATAACAGGGCGTGCCATTGATGTTCCCAGCAAGTATTTCCGTTCATAGATGGCGCCTGCTCGCAAGCAGGGAAAAATAAAGTCTCTCACAAATTCCTCCTGCAAGTCCTTTACCACTAGCTGACAAGCACCACTAGCCTTGGCCTTTTGTTCCAGACCTTCCAATTCTCCTACTCCCTGCAAATTGAAAAATCAATGCCATGCACATGTATAAAGACAGGTACTGTAATTTATAAAACCAGATAAGATGGCTCAAATGAGGAATCTGTTTCTATTCTTAAGCAAATCAAATACTATGAATTTAATAGATTTTTCTACTATTTACAAACCTGACCAACATCAGCAGTGAAGCAAACAACTTCACAACTGTAATTCTCCCTGAAAGGAAAAATAGCACAAAAATTATAAGAGGGAGTGTCAACAAAAAAAAATTGTTTCAAAAGATAAGGGCAGGCGAAAACACTGAGAAACTGTGATGCATAAAGACAGGAAGCAAAATAAATGAAAAGTAATTCTGCTAGTAAGATGAGCTATGCCACCCACCCTATGACATATAAAACACCTAGCAACATAATGCACCCCTATCTGGTTGAGCTGAGAAAACTTTACAGCCCTTCACCAACCCCAGATTAGACTACATAATGATCTCAGAAGCACACATCTTTATATCATAAAACAAGCATAAAACGTGCATATGTGCATTTCCTTTGTATCTATTCTAAACACTATCATATGAAGCAAGTATAAAACTTACATCCAAATCCCAGAATTTCATAACTAAACCAAAACAACAGGTCAAGGCTCATGAACCATGAGTATCAATCAGTTAGAAAACTCAAACACAAAGCAAGAGGTATACCGTAGCCATGGGACAATAACTGAGGTGTCTAAGCCACCGCTATAGGCTAAAACAACCTTGTTTAATTTTCCTCTTAGCCCTTTAGTTTTTGTAGCTTCAAAAACCTCAGTAGCTTTATCATGGGATAGTACAGCTTGAATCCCTGCAGATCATGATCAATTACAGTGTCACTAAGCAGAAGTTACAAACCCCATTATTTACATCAACATTATCTTCGTTACTTCAACAACCACAGAATCTCAAAAACTTACAACCAGACATACACTTTTGAAGATTCAGCCCATCAATCTCATAAATATTTTCAGCTAAATAAAAACTACTCAGTAAATAAATTACAACTACGCACCTAGTAAAACTTAGTACATGCATAATAAAACAGTTATGAAGATTGAAAATTCAGAATTTATATCGAACTCCTAAACACAACAAGTTCATACTTTGATCCCACCAGACTAGCCAATTCACATTAACATCCGCGCTAACTTGGTTGCTTTAAGAATGAAGATGCGTAAGAGCAGAAACTCAGAAAAACTAACACCAGGTATGCACTGACTTGTCAAGATACAGCTATTGATTGCATTCTATCTTAAGTAATAATTAAAAAAAAAAAAACTATTGAATTAATAAATTACAATTGCGTTTTCTTGTAAAACTTAGCATTTGCACAATCAAACAATTTTAGAGAAAACCCAATAAAAAGATTTGAAATTTATAAACTATATTGAATTCCCATTCCAAATTGAATCAATTTAATATTTTTAACTCATCAAAAAAGCCCAAAACCAAAAAAGGCAGCAATTAAACTCACCTTTGTTGCAATGAACTCGAAGACCATTCCCTTTATTGCTCAAAACTGCATCACCCTGAAGCTCACTGTTTCTAGCCCCCAACTGCAAGTAAAGAAAAAATGAAAAAAAAAAACCAACTAACCACTGTACTTCAAAAGAAATGATATACCTCTTGAAACAAAGCTGACTTCTTTGAAAAAGATACATTGTCATTACACAGCATTAAATCTGGCAAACAATATTCAACTTGTTATAAGCTTCAAGAAAATCACTTCCAACGTAGCAGAATCATCAAAAAGTGTAAAGAAGTGGGGAGTGTACCGCTCTTAGTGACATGAACAGAGAGATTGCGCGATGAAAATGGAGATATTGCCTTCAGCTGAGCCATCTCTTACTGCCCCTGTATTTTTTTTGGAGGAGTTGATGACAACTCTTTGTGGGCTATCTCGCTCTGCGGCTTTTTGGGTGTTTTGTGCTGTATGTGAAGACAAACTCTATTCTGTTCAATTTAGGGTTTTAAAAATGCAGGGTAAGAAAAGGCTGCACACGGTTGCTGACTGATGCGCTTGTGAGTTGATGGTGGCAACGCTTGCGCGGGGGTGTTTGGTAAAGCAGCAGAAATTATTTTTATTTAAAAATATATTAAAATAATATTTTTTTATTTTTAATATTTACCTAACTAATTTTAGCGTGGCAATTAACTTGAATGATCTATTCTTTTAGTTTTTTTTTTCATAATGATATTTTAAATTTTTTTAAAACAATATCTAGAACAATATTATTTTATTAAAAAAAGGTAATATATTAAGGTCAACTCACAAATTATCTCCCACAGCTCCAATCTTAGACTAGAATGAGGATTAGCCGAGTCCTATAACTATTCTTCCATCTGCCCTAAGAAAATTTTGAAAAATGAAAAACAAAGAACAAAAGGGAAATCAAGAAAGAGCTAGAAAAAGATTAGGGTCCCAAAATAATGTAATTACCAGCCCAATTATCCCACTCACTTAATTAATCTACAATTTTATTTTAATCATCTTAAATTCCTGAAATCATGAGAGAATCCTAACCTCCTTCACTGTCTTCTCTTCTTAAATAATTTAAAGTGTTTTTTATTTATAAGAATAATATTTTTTTATTTTTTACAAATTATTTTTAATAACAATAAATTAAAATAATTTTTTAAAAAATAATCAAATAGCAATTACTGTAAAACAAACAGCACCAAGTCCAAGTCTCCTGAAAGTTACAAACGGTTCCAATAAATAAAAGCCACCTTAATTCACTGTCCAACAACTCACTCCATTGTCCAACAAATCTCCACTTACTATAAAGTTCTTTACAGCCACCACCCCGAGTCTAAGTTAGGTAGGGCACCCTCCTCAGGTAGGTCTCCTTGTAATCTCCGCCTATTAACTTCCTTCTAGCCAGGCCTCACCAATCAATCTCTCCTTGTAAGATCTCTCGCCTTTTACCCTTCTTTACGTGATTTATTGCTCTTGTTTTTGTCTTTTTCCTGTTCTTGATCTGTTATTATCAGCTTTGCTTTGTTGCTCTTTATCTTGATACATGTTGTATGGAAGTTTGCTTCCTCTTCTTTTTTTTTTTTTTTTTAGATTAACGTTGTTGTTTGATTAATTTCGTATCTCGGGAACTTTATTTTTCATGTTCTGAATCAAGAAATGTAATTATAAATCACTGTGAAAACATCATAGTAATAATTTGTTTCAAGTCAGCTGAAGTGGTTCTTAGGTTTGCGGAAGAAAAAATCCAGTGTCTTTAAAGTGAATAGAATCTTAAAATCATCAATCGTTGTGATGTTTGAGGTATGATGCATGTTTGAATTACAGGTCTATAGTTTTGTGGGTGATTGATTTTGACATGTTTAAAGCTTCAGTTGTAAAATGCTGATGAGGACAAGCTGTAATGGCAGAGCAGATTTCTGCATAAATGTAAATATACCACGCATTATATATTTTGACAGTGACTGTAACAATATACGGTAAAAACATATTTTCTGAATTGCCTGTAGTCTGTGGTCACAGCAAAAATAGAGGAAATTTTCTGATGGCCAAGAAATTATTGTCTCTAATACAAAGCACAAGTCTCCTTCTCCCTCTCTCTCCCTCTTAACTCTCTTCCGCTTGGCTTGATGGTTTGAAGAGAATTGTCCTCGTTACAAATGATGTTAAGCGGCTACAAATCATTGATCTGACCACAAATTTCCTGTTGGGACATTTTTTGATCCATGAATCAATAAATTGAACCACAGTGGATTCCCTTGCTTGACAGTGATTGATCATCCACAAAATGTCCCTAATTGCTCTGGCGCAGGTGGAAACATGTCAACCGTGAGACTTCCCACAACATGCATGATCAGAAGTGCACCACCGAGAAAAGTTCCAAGCCCAAGCAAGTCGTGTGCATTGATCAAGAGCCCAGGTGCTTTGGGTTCTGTAAGGAATGTATCTAAAGCATTTGGCTTGAAGTCTTCCTCCTTCAAAGTATCTGCAATGGCAGTTTACAAAGTGAAACTAATTGCACCAGATGGATGCGAGCACGAATTTGATGCCCCTGGTGATACTTACATCCTTGACTCAGCTGAAAATGCAGGAGTGGAGCTCCCATACTCATGCAGAGCCGGAGCCTGCTCTACTTGTGCTGGTATGATGGTTTCAGGGTCCGTGGACCAATCAGATGGTTCATTCCTTGATGAGAAACAGATGGAGAAGGGATACGTCCTTACATGTGTCTCATATCCAACTTCGGACTGTGTGATTCACACACACAAGGAGGAAGATCTGTATTGAGCAGCATACCTAGCATGCTTGTTGCGCTTGTGCTGCTATCTCAATAATGCAGGAACCTGCATTTATAGCATGCCGGTAGAGCACTTGATTATCAGACATTCGTATAACCTGGTTTATCGTTTGTGGTGTTAATTTTCGAACATCCTTCAGTCTCCAGTACCTTGAAAGCTTTCATTTCAGTGATCAACTTGTACTTCATGTGAATTGATTTTGTGTTTTCATGCGGGTAGTTATCAGGGGACATCAATTTGAGCCAGGGAACCCGCATGATGCCTGATTTGTTATTCAGGCTCGGGTCATGGGTTGCCGGGTATCATAACATGTAGTTTTAAGTTTTTAAAGTTAAAGCATTGTCTTGAAAAAATACATATAAAACGCCAACATAGATTTTAAACAAGTCACAGGTTCACTTAATAGTTTGATCAAGGTCTAACTATGTCAATTAACCCGGGATAGAAGATTAAGTTGACCTATTAAATTGAATTTTAAATCGACATGTCAGGCTCGACCCATCAGGTTGACAGGTTTAATATATGTATCAATATTTTTTTATGATACAGGTGAGGCATTAGGCAGCTCAAGCTGTCCAACAAGAAGCAAATGAACGATCTCTTTTGAATTCCATTTTTGTTTTTATGAATTCATAGATACGTCAAACAGAGTTGAATGGCATTCAATTTAGGAAAGATGGTTATGAACATGTTCTGAGATTTTGAATCAATTTCACTCACCTGAGATCATTTGTTGCTGTCAATTGGAATGCTTAAGCCTTGTTGACCTGGGAGGTGGATCAAATGCTTGGCCACTTCATATGAAAATTTCAATGAGAAAGTGATTTCCACAAAATTGCCATTCCAATTAGCATCTGTAACGGAAATTCCAGCAATCCAGTCCTTTCCTCTTTCTATTTTGTTGACAAAAGGAATCACCGCACCCAACAAAATTACGCTAGATTAAAACAGATGACAAATTTAACTCATGACATGCATATATCAAGCCAAATTTAACAGACATCAAGTTGTTAAAACATGATGAGCAGGATCCTAAACCTGCATAAATTCTTAGTTTGATTTAATGTCGCCATAAAATTGTGGAAGAGAATAAAAAGATTAACCAATTTAAGGTCAAAACTCGCAAAGAACCATCATCTGTGAAAATATTGCTGACGTACAAAAATTTAAGTATAAAATCAACTATACTGCAATACATGAAACTTCTGCCACCGAATAAATATATCAAAACTTCATTCTTGACATGAATGGTATGAAGAAATGAGACCGAAACAAAATGGTAATGGATTACTCGCAATGCCAGGAAAAATGTTACAACTGTCTCTTAGGTGTTGGTAGCCCTGGTGTAGATCTGTTGGCTGGCATGTGCAGATACCATCCTAATGGATCCTCTGGCCATTAGATCCTTGATTGCTTTGCGTGCAAGAGAGCCACTAATCTGAAATTCAGATAAAAAACAAAGCATCAAATGCTTACGCACATTGCAAAGCATTAAGCAAACAACGAATCATCATGAATTTGTCAAAAGATTAAATGCACAAGATATTGAAGCAGGAATCTAGATCATTTAACAGCTTAGGATAGCATGATGGCTCAGACGTTGCTGGTTATGACATCACATTGAATGATCAATGGGAATCCTTCTGATTCATTTCATCATCTTCCATCATGCTTAACGAAAGAAAACATAAAAGAAACTAGATACATAAAAAAACAAAAAAATCAAGAAAAGCAGGTCAACGTTTACAAATCCCAGATTGAATTTTTTGAAGACAAATTTCATGCTATATTGTTTTATTTTACCTTTCAAAGAAAAGCGTTGAAGGTAAGACTTAAGACTTCAAAGGTCACATTTCTTTAATGCATATGCAAAATGATTTGCAATTCTCTAAGAACATATCTTCACAGTTTCCTCTGTTGGTGTCCACATCTTGAAGTTAAACTAACCTAAGTAGAACACATCAAATCAAAAACCTTTTGAAACAAACACTGCCACTTATGAAATTTGCCTGCCTGTCTCTCAGCACAACTCACGCAGCATGATACCAGAGCCATATTACATGAGCAATTTCCAAGAACACCACAGAATTCATTCTAAATGTAGACTGACACCATAAAAGCATAAAGGCTGCTAAGAATGAAAACTAAAAGAAAGTAATGTAGAGCATAAAGAACACACCCTCAATCTGTCAGACAAGACAGAAGGAGTTATAAGCTTGTACTTGGGAGCTTCAGAAAGAAGCTTATCGTAGGTAGCTTGATCAAACAAAACCATGTTGTTCACCTTCTCCTTTTGCTTTCCCTTGCTCCATTTCTGCACATAAAACCCCAACAAATCATAAGAAAGAAAAAAACCCAAACACTCTTTAAGAGCAAATCATCCAATGTTTAAAAAAAATAACACTAAAAAAACCAACAAAAGGAGCCCCGTGATTTTTTTCACCTTCTTCTTCTGTTTGCCACCGCCAGACTTAGCTGGTTTTGAAGACGGTGGTGGAGCCTTCTCCTTCTTTGGTGCCTACAGAGAAAACCGCCACGAATAAATGAATGAAAACATCATAAGCCACTGTTCGGATGCCAAGAAACAGGAGGAATATCTAACAAAAATCATGAAAGGGATATGGTCTTGAGATTGTTACCATGACAGGAGATCAAAGGTTGAATCTCTAGGGTTTTGGAGGGACCGATCGAGAGAAACCAGGCTAAGCGAAAAGAAAATTCCGAGCTTGCAGGGAATATTTATAAGTGTGCGTTTTGGTGCTTGCTAGGGTTTTTCTAATTTGCGGTGTGTTCGGTTGCTGGGTTTGGTGCATCCTTGTTTCAGGTTGGACCTGTAAAGCGCAGTTGTAGTGGGCTTCATTCGGGTTCAGCTTAAGGGACTTTTGGGCTGGCGCCCGAATGCCTCGCTGTGGAGTTTCTTTGGGTAATTAAGAGAAAAATGCCGTGTTAAATTTGATCAGTAATAAAAATTAGTTTTGGGGAGGGAACTATAATATGAAATTAACATGAAGGTTAAAACTATAAAAAAAAAAGTCTTAGAAAGATACATGTACGTTTGAATCAAGTAGACCATACTGATTCATGCATGTTTTTAGCATTTTTTATTGTATTTTATTGATTTCTAGCATTATATAATGATTTAATATGAATCTTAAATGTCTTCATATAAAATCGTTTCTGGTAAAATAATATATTTTATGTTTATTGCTAAATGATTTTCCTAAAGCTTGCTCATGCCGGCCTAGAGGATGTCAACGGTATTTGAAGGGAACTTCCAAAATTTTGACACCCCCTTTGTTGTTTTTCTGTGATGTCCTCCTCTTAAATTGCCGGTCTAAGTATTGCGGTTTATTGTTTTTTTTTTTTAAGTATTTTTTATTTAAATATATATTAAAATATTTTTTCTATTTTAGTATGTCAAAAATTATAAAAAAATCTTAAAAATTATCATTTTAATATTTTTTTAAAATCAAACACCGTCTCAAAATGGACTCAATTATAGTTTCAACAGCGATACAAAAGTCAGTATCCACTCGTTCACTGAATTGTGTAATCTTAAGCAATGCCATTCTTTGAACAAACATTATAATATGTAAATCGATAAAAAGCAAAAGAAAGAATCAACTTGATCGCCCCCACGATTTAGTGGCCCATAAAGAAGACAACCCATAAAGAGAGATTCGAGAATCGGACATTTGGCCCATAGTAATCGACGACAAGGTCACGATCACTTTGGTGATTAAAGATAAAGCAAGATTCAAGACAATCATCTTAGCTACTTTATTTAAGGGAATATAATTACTGCTTAATTACACCTTGTAACTACTACAAGACTCTACTAGCTAGCACACTGATATATATATATATATATATATATAAAAGAAGGTATGTATGCGATACGTCTATCTTCAAACAGAGGCTGCGGTGACAGATATATAACCTGGAAGGTTATAGACAAGCTCTTGAAGTTCCTTTCGTGCATTAAGAACATGGGAGATGGTAACAAGATGGGATATTTGTTCCTCGTGCTCGCAAGCTTATGCTTGTTTGCATCTTCAACTGATCCACTTCGTGATCACAAGCCTCTCCTCTCAGGTATTCTTCTGTTGCCTCTCTGCAGAGTGTGTGCGCGTGTGGAACCCTTTTAATTATACATAGCAGAGTGTGTGTGCGTGTGGAACCCTTTTAATTATTCATAGACTTCGAGAAAAGAAGAACCTTTCGAGGCACAATATCTCATTCAAGTATTAGTGTCAATGAATTCTGATATATACAAGCCAAAAAAACACCATATAATCCATGGAGTAGGATGCTAGCTCGAGCAGCTGGGAGCAAGGAGATGAGCTGCAAGTATTTAAAAAATCTAACGTATTTAAATATTTCATCGGATTTGCAAGTATGTTGTATGTTGAATTCTGTATTCAATTCTTAACGTAGACTATATTTTTTCAAACTTGTATAACTAAACATAAAAACAATTATTTTTCTCATAACTAATGATTTTTCAATGAACAAACGAGGTCTAAGAGAAAGTTGATAACTCTAAATTTCTGTAATTGTTTTTAAAAAGGTTAATAAGTCTTGTTTTTTCATGATATAATTGAACACCGGAAACTAATCACTTTTTTTTTAGAAAATATTTCTTACGAATTGAATCTTTTTAAAGGAATGCGCAAACATTCAAGCTAGGAATTTTAAGGAAGGGATATGATAGTTGTTGTGGTTAGTCAAATATGCAGGAAAAAAATAAGAGAGGAGAACCAGATACTGTTTTTTTAGCTTTCTTCTTGAGAATTTCAGGGCACTAAAGCTTCAAGCAGCAAATGGTGAGAACTTTCTTGATAGAGTTCTTCTATTCGAAGATTTTCGATGAGACAAATCTTGCTTTCACCTGTGTAAACGATGATAGTCTGCGTGATAAGACCAGGATTAGTAAAAGATTAATAAGAAGCTTATAATTTCTTATGCTAGAGACCTATAAGGTAATTCCCTAATACGAAGCAGAGTTCTTTTTGGGTCAGCAGAGACACTTTGAATCTTGCATGGCAACAAATTATTCCCTGTCCTCCACAGATAAAAGGTTTTTCTACTGTCATGCAAAAAAGATCCTCCTCCAAATTTCTTTTAAAGGAAAGGGTGTCTACAATGAACTTTGACCGAATGATCAAATGAATTTTAAGGTTTCGTTTATCATTTCTTTTAAGGAAAGGGTGCCATCTGGAGATTAAAAAAAGAAAAAGAAAAGGAAAAATGAAATTAGTTTTGAGAGTACATGACCTCTCACCTTTCATATTTTGAAAGGACAGATTCGCTTCAAAACTATCTTGTTTTGTCTGTTCCTTTAACCAGAAACCCGAAACACTGAACAAACGTAGCATAATAGTTTTACTATCGTTGACAGGACTAAGAAGTTCAAGCTTCGTATTTCGTAGTTTTAATCACTAATCGGTCCATCTATTGTTTGTTTGCACCGAGAAAGACTCAACAACATCAAAAACAGGTCTTCTGCAGGAGAACAGTTTGGGAGCGACCGGCACACATCAACATGACACCAGTAGCATTGGTGATGATTCTAGTGAAAGAAGTGGTATAGTACACGGCAGCGAATTTGCCCATGGCTCAGTTTATGGAGGTACACATGGTGGTGCAACTGGGGCAGCTGACACTTCGAATGGCGGTGGTGATGAACATGGAAGTGGAGCGGTTGTCGTAACTGGTGCTGTAATGAATCACCACCCAAAGAAACACCACAATGCTGGCAGCCACCATGCGAACGGCATAGGGCTTCCAACATTGATTACGACTGCCTTGATCGCTCTCATTGTACATTAAGCTAAAATAAGGAGGTTGTTGATGCTTTGTACTTGCTTGTCACTCGGTTTTGGGTTGTGTTTGCAGCATGCATTCCTGTAATATAAACGTCGGTTGTGCAGCTTGTAATGTATATCATGGCAAGCAAATGTATGTGCAACGGGCTCGTGTAGCAATCATTTATTTTTATCAGGTACGCAGGCCTGCACGATTAAAATTATTCAGCCAGAACACAAGTCCTAAATTGAAGCTAGAAAACTTTCTACCTTATGAAACAGAAATAGAAGACACGTATCGCCAGGAGTTTCAGCATCCTATTTTACAGGTCATGGTTCGGTTACACTCAGGTTCCTCATGATAGTGCTTTCAAAGACATTATTAGGCTACTTTCTTCTTGCCTGGAGACAATCGTACGAAGAAGTGTTCGTACATGGCCAATCATTAATATCTGAGGAATCAACTCCAATATTTGGCATCTAAACTACCATGTATTAAAAGCAAAGCTTGTGCAATCACACCCATGTGAGTGCGTGCAGAAGGGCTACAAAATCCAGTGCATTCAAATTCTAGCACCCTCGGAGTCTGATTGGAAATAGCCCTGCTTGTCGCCCAAGCCTCGACACCCACAGCCTTAGCTAGTCATTGGTAGTTGAATGGGAAGACCTCGCCATGACTGTTAAGAAAACAGTTGATATCCACAACTAAAATGGGCCCTTTTCTAAATGTTCTCACAATATTTCTCGGTTAAAATTCATTCTTTACCCTTCAGTCTACATTCTAGAATCTGTAACAGATGCTTACTGGCATAATTGCTCGATTCATTGGTACAAAGGTAAGCAGTAGTTAATATTGGTATGAGATAAAACAATAATCGAACTTCACTGCTAGAAATTCACAAGTTGCTCGAGTTTACGAGCCTGGAAAAACTTGCAGCGGCTTTTACCACTTGATTCAATTTCTTCAATTTTCCTCTTGGATGTAGCGACACCAAAACTGCTTAATTTTAGTTGCCTCTTACCACTGCTACTACTAGAACCATCTTCCTGCGTTTTATCAGATTCCCTGTTTAAAAATAACAGGACAAATGAAGTCAAGTGAAGGATGACATATTCAATAGTTCTATCTTTCTTTTTTCCTTTTGCAAAGTGAACAGCAAAGGAAACAGGAAAATGGGGTATTGGTAAATCCCAGAAAATGCTGGCTGCAAATGGCATGCATAAAAAAACAAGAACCAATCCTGTTATCTACAAACTGGACCATATTCATGTGCAAATAACATGGAGTGCACCCCTCAAAGCCAACTGATTAAAGCTTTGTGCCTATTTTGGCATCACATACAAGGAAAAGGGAAGCAAATTCATTCAAAGTGGGTCCATCAAACGTTTTATACTACCAGGTTACACACCCGACTAAAGACCTCAAATCCTCTGAAGTCCAAGCATGAACAATGCCCCAAATAATCATAGGAAGTCATTCAAATTGACCTCACCCCCATAGCATTCCCTATATGGAGTTATGACTGGATAAAGTAGTGATATTTGCCACACTTAAATTCCTGTTTAATTTGGTATCATGGCCACCAGATGAATGCCTATCTCATTAAGAAAAGCAGAGACACGTCAAATCATGCAGCACAATGATGCAGCTGCAGAAGAAAGATAATGCTAAGGGAAAGAAAAGTAAGAACTGATAACTGACCACACGACTTCAACCATGTTCTTGGAATAGGATGTGCATGTACCCCAACTGAAGCGGACCAATGTTGGGAATCCAAATACCGGGTGTTGATGTTTTTCCAACCAAGCTTTGGTTTCAGGATCTGCACCCAACAATAAAACCGGATTCAATTGACAAACAGCTAAAATGTACAGAGTGAAGATCATATTACACATCAAAGAGATGATTAAGCACTGCCAACCTCCAGGATATCCAGATCCA